TTAAATATATTCTCATCATTTGATTTAAATATATTCTCATCAACCACCAGATGGCATAAGGTGTGAGAGTTTTATTCTGACAGGGTCACTGTGCACATGATAACTTGACGTATAACTTCAAAATAATATACTTGGAAGAATGTTCTAGCACTCAAACAGCTCACAATTATTTTTGCCATATGTAGAAGTGGGTGAGTAAGTTGAAAATAACATGGTCCTACTTTTTCTAAACCTTTGGGTTCTGTGGGATACTGGTGTTACATAATGAATCAGTGATCAAACAAATAAAACAAAGCAGTTCCATTAAAGGAAATAAAAAAGGAAGTCATGTAAAAGCAAAATTAACCTCATATTCTAAGTAAGTGTTCTCAACTCTAAAGAAAATTGAAATTTAAGAGAAAAAACAAAAACACTTGTACTCATGTCTTAAAAAAAAAAAAAAGAACTTCTTTTCTGTCTATAATTTATCCTGAAAGTAGAAAAGTATCGAATTCAAAAGCTTTCCTCTGCTTTGGCTTGAAGATAAGTTGTTGCAGAGGTCACCTAGGGGGAAAAAAAAGTCCAACTAAAACATCCAATCTGAATGAGAACGTTAAATAAAGGAAAGTTTATTTTAAGAACTGCAACTTCTACACAAATTCAAAATACAGCCCATTATTTTTATAGGTCCTGTATGTCCACCTAGAAAAAAGAGAGCAGAACTCTAGATAGGGCAGAAGGGTGGGAGAGGAAGGGAGGGGGCATGGGGTTAGCAATGAGGATGGAATGTGATGGACATTATTATCCAAAGTACAGGTATGAAGACCCGAATTGGTGTGAATATACTTTGTATACAACCAGAGATATGAAAAGTTGTGCTCTATATGTGTAATAAGAATTAAAATGCATTCTGCTGTCATATATAAATTTTAAAAATTAATTAAAAAAGAATTAAATGATAGATCAATAAAATAAAAAGGTAAATGATAAAAGATAAATGAAATAAATTTAAAAATATCAAATTTTTCACTCCCCTGGTTTTATGTAGCATGTTTATTGAGCACCTTGAAAAAAAAGACATACCAGAATAAGAAATGGCTTCAACCCACTCAGTGCATAGAGCGGGGGTCTGTGCTCTGGCACGCCTGCCTTTAGGAGCTGAAAATAAAAAATGGATTAAATTCCCTTCCTTAATGTGGTCTAAGATCAAGGATTCCAAAGATATCATAATAATTTTTTTTGCATTTTACTACATACTTCCTCATTGGAGTTAATGTATTTGGTTCCTAAGTGAGAAATCTTTGGAAGAAAAAAAGATGCTTGGAGCTATGATAAGGGTGAAAATCTAATTGGTCGTATATAAACAGTTTTTTGTTTTGTTTTGTTTTACTATTTCTAAGTTGCATGTTGATAAAGACATGAACAAGAGGGGGTGGGAATAAGATAATTAAGGGAAAAGTGTTGTGAGATTTCTTCACTGTGGCTCACATAGTTTCCCTATCTTCAGCAGCCAATAGAGAAAAGATGTTTTCTACCTGGATTCACATGAAAGGGAGAAATGATACTTTATTATTGTTTTTATGCTTTTAAGTTGTTATTTCCAAAAGTTTCTTCGGATGGTTCAGCTAGATAATAGAAAGTGGAATGATGGATATTTCAAGTTAATAGAATAATACCATTCAAGGCATTTGAAATTTCTTACTTTAACTTCCATTCTTTAGGATGTCCTTTATCAATTTTCTTCCATTTATAATACTCTCCAATGAAATGTGGATCTCCAAGCACTGAAATTAGAGTATTAAAATAAGGAGCTATGCATAGATTCTTTAACAACTGTTAAAAGTTGAAAATAACTCATTTCTCATTAAGTCATTACAGGGCAATGATATATACCATATAGATCAAATCATGTTACAATGCTCAGAAACTTTCCAAATTTCTTTCTTTTATTGGAACTTTGTAATATTCAATATTATTTGAAATGAGTAGGTTGTGAACCAAAAGTTGTTTTCATTATAATGATATTTGTTTATATATCATTTATGTTGTTAAATAAAATTTATGGGAGACCATTGTTTTGGGCTGAGATCTCGCACTAGACCCCAACAGACCAAACCAACATCCCCAGTACTATGCAGTCAAACTGAAACTTTAAGAAAGAAGGAAAATTCCTAAACTGACCAGTTCCACCCACCAACCAAAACTAAAGATCCACGGAACCACTCAGAAGGGACCCAATAAACCAGAACCTGCATTGTGAATAACCAATCCACCTTTTTTCTTTATCTTCTTTTCCACTTTCTGTAGTCCTAGGGGATTGAACCCAGGACTTCATACATTCTAGGCAAGTGCTCTGACCACTGAGTTATGGCCCTAGCCCATTTTATTTTTTGAGATAGGACCTTGCTAAATTGCCCCAGCTGGCCTCAAACTTGTGATCCTCCTGCCTCAGTCTCCTGAGTAGCTGGGATTATAGGCATGCATCACCACGCCTAGCCCAATCTTCTTTTGGAATTATTGTTGCCTTGTTCCTGTTCTAGCTGCCTTGTAAAATCAACCTGCTTGGCCATGCCCCGTGGAGCACTTAGTTATTCTTTAGAATCACTAACAAAAGTCAATGTGGTCATTAAATTTGCTGAAATTTTGTTTTTTGGCAATAGTAATAAAGACAGTATTAAGAGAACTCATATAGCCAGGCACAGTGGCATGTGTCTCTCTAATCCCAGCTATAAAGGAGGCTGAGGCAGGAGGATTGTGAATTTGAGGCCAGCCTGTGTAACACTGTGAGATCTGCATGTTAAATAAAAGATGTCTCATAAAAATCACAGACACTGTAGTTTAACAAGTTTCTAATTTAGCATTCAAGCTGAAAAATAAAATATTGGAGTTGGAAGGGACATTGCAGATCTTGATCTTTCACAAAGCAAGAATATCAAACATATTCATCAAGCTCTGACCTTTGCCAATGACAGAAAACACTCCATTGTGTTGTTGGGAAGCTGCCCATTCTTTTGGCAGATACAATAATGAGGGCTACGATTTCCTCCCTTCTTCTGAGTGCTGCAAATTACCATTGATCCTCGATCTGACCTCTGGAGCAATAATGAGTAGGCTGGTTCCTTTCCCAATAGGACAGAGCCTTCTAATATTTGAGGATAGCTCTCAAGGAAGTCCCAGCTCCTTCAACTTCTTCTTAGGACATGATGTCCTAGAGACAACCATCTTCATCATTCTGATGGCAAACTTTGTTGGTGTTTCTGTTAAAATTTATGTACAGGACTGGGAGAGCAGCCCAGGGTTAAAACACATGCCTAGCATGCAACGAGGTCCTGGGTTCAATTCCTAGCACGCGTGCACGCACACACACACACACATACACACACACACACACACACACACACACACACACACACAGTCCAGAAATGGATCAGGATCTTGATTTAATCTGAATAGCAAAGATGCAAGTGGAATTACTACCTCCCTTGATTTGTGTGCTACACTTATATAATGTTAGCTTAATTTGCAGTCACATTACAATCACTGGCTTCTAAGTTTGTGATTGATTATAAACCTTATGTCTTCAATCAGATTCACATCAAATTTATTGAAAACCTAATATGATTATCTCACCTTGCACAAAACTCAACTCAAAGTGGATTAAGAACCTAGACATTAGAACAGAGACCTGAGTCTACTAGAAGAAAAAGTAGACCCAATTCTCCATCATATTGGCTCGAATAGACTTCCTCAACAAGACTCCTAAAGCACGAGAAGTAAAATCAAGAATCAATAAATGAGATAGCATCAAACTAAAAGGCTTCTTCACAGCAAAGGAAACAATCGAAAACATGAACAGAGACCTTACAGAATGGGAGAAAATCTTTACCACCATTACCTCAGAGCATTAATCTCTAGGATATACAAAGAACTCAGAAAACTTAACAGCAAAAAAACAAATAGCCCAATTAATAAATGGGTAAGGGAGCTAAAGAGACACTTCACAGAAGAAATACAAATGGTCAAAAATATATTAAAAAAATGCTCAACACCCCTAGCCATTAGAAAATTGCAAATTAAAACTACACTGAGATTCCATCTCATTCCAGTCAGAATGGCAATTATCAAGAATGCAAGTAACAACAAATGCTGGTAAGTATATGAGGGAAATTGCTGGTGGGACTGCAAATTGGTGCAACCACTCGGGAAAGCAGAATACAGATTCCTTAGAAAACTTGGAATGGAGCTACCATTTGACCCAGTTATCCCACTCCTCGCCATATACCCAAAGGACTTAAAATCAGCATACTACGATAATGCAGCCACATCAATGTTTACATCAGTTCAATTTCACAATAGCCAAGCTGTGGAACCAACCTAAGTGCCCTTCAACAGATGAATGGATTAAGAAACTGTGGTATATATACACAATGGAATAATACTCAGCCATAAGAAGAATGAAATTATGGCATTTGCTGGTAAATGGAACTGGAGAATAGCATGGTAAGTAAAATAATCTAGTCTCAATAAACCACAGGCGGAATTTTCCCTCAGGTATGTGGATGCTAATTCACAAGGGAGGGGAAGATTAGAAGTACTTTGGATTAGACAGAGGGAAATGAAGGGAAGGGAGTGAGGATGGAAATAGGAAAGACAGTAGAAGTAGACATAACTTTCCCATGCTCAAGCATGAATATACAACCAGTGTAATTCCACATCATGTTTAACCACAGGAATGGAATCAAAATTGTAATGAGTTGCACTCCAGATATGTATAATATGTCAAAATACACCCTACTGTCATGTATATCAAAAAACAACAAACATAAAAATTTAAAAAGAAAATTTGACTCCACATTATGTACAACCACAAGAATGGGATCCTAATTACTGTAAGTTATACTCCATGTATGTATAATATGTCAAAATACACTCTACTGTCATGTATATCTAAAAAGAACAAATTAAAAAAAATGAAAACCAAAGTATGGTAGGATTTAAAAGTTAATGAAGGATTGAATAAAAATTTCTGAAAATAGAACATACAAATGGGGAAAAAAAGAAAATTTGAACTACTTCTTATTTGAATTTAAGTTCCTATTTTAGAAGACAGAAGATCTTCAATAACCATACTCTTTTTTTTAAAACCAGAGAGAGAGAGAGAGAGAGAGAGAGAGAGAGAGAGAGAGAGAGAGAGAGAGAGAGAGGGAGGGAGGGAGGGAGGGAGGGGGGGGAGAGAGAGAGAGAGAGAGAGAGAGAGAGAGAGAGAGAGAGAGAGAATTTTTAAAAAATATTTATTTTTTAGTTCTCGGCGGACACAGCATCTTTGTTTGTATGTGGTGCTGAGGATCAAACCCAGGCCGCATGCATGCCAGGCGAGCGCGCACCGCTTGAGCCACATCCCCAGCCCAATAACCACACTCTTAAGAGAATCAAATAACTTAGCGATGTTTCATCAATGTGGGCTTTCTGAAACAGAAAGGTATCTAAATAATGTCATTCTACCTTCATGGTTTCAAATAATATATGAATAAAAGTAAAAGTTGCATTCTATAATAGTCTTATGTGCAGGAATTTTCAACATGCTGTAAAGAAGATTTAAAACTGAAAAAATGATTGCAATCTTGTGTGTTTTTTTTAACATAGATTAAGATGTTCTAATAAAGAAAGAATTCATTAAAAAAGAAATACTATTAATCCAAACCACATATCTACATAGACTCTATCATCCATCTATCTATCTTTTCCTTCCTTATCATTGTTCTGAGTTTATAGTTGGCCTACCGAACCAGCTAGATGCTCTTCACCAGTTTTGCCTTTATCTGGGGTCTCCTTTTTTTTTTTTTCTTTTTGGTACTGAAGATTAACCTAGGGTCACTTTACCACTGAGGCACAGTGGTAGCTGAAAGGTCTTGCTAAGTTGCTGGGGCCAGACTCAAACTTAGAGTCCTCTTGCCTCAGCCTCCCAAGTCACTGAGGTAGTCACTGGGGTACCTCACCACCTGGCTTGGGGCTTCCTTTTTTTAACAATGATTAATAGTTCCTGTTAGTCTGATGACATTTGCCATTGATAGAAGAAAAGATTTAAACTGAACAGTTATTTTCTTCTAATAAATTACATGATTTTCACCAGCAATGCTCCTATCTTTTTTTTAATTTCTTTTCTTGCCTCAAACATACATATATACATATTCTTATAGACTTTATTACTTTTTATATTGATATTTGCATTTATTATTAATACTTTTAAATTAATAATAATATTCTTCTCCTTTCCATTAAAAAAGCAAATCTGAGTTCTTCAGAGTTCCAAGTGAGGGACCATAATTTCCTTTAGATAATCATAATAAGATTACTAAATTTTTTTTTATTGTTGGTCATTCAAAACATTACATAGTTCTTAATACATCATATTTCACAGTTTGATTCAAGCGGGTTATGAATTCCCAACTTTACCCCGTATACAGATTGCTGTATCACATCAGTTACCCTTCCATTGATTGACATATTGCCTTTCTAGTGTCTGATGTATTCTGCTGTCTGTCCTATTCTCTACTATCCCCTCTCCCCTCCCCTCCCCTCCCCTTTTCTCTCTCTACCCCTTCTACTGTAAATCATTTCTTCCATTTGTATTATCTTGTCTTACCCCTCCTTTCCTCTTATATATCATTTTGTATAACCCTGAGGATCGCCTTCCATTTCCATGCGATTTCCCTTCTCACTCCCTTTCCCTCCCACCTCTCATCCCTGTTTAATGTAAATCTTCTTCTCAAGCTCTTCGTCCCTG